GCACCTCGGAATGATTGTGTTAAGCTAGCACTAAGTCCCTCCCCCATCCACCTTTATTCTTTTCTTTACAATAAGGCTTTCAAATAAGTCATGGCTGTACGGCAGTGAAGCATTGGTGTTGAGCACTGATGTCATGCTGTCGTTGATGATGATTGACGATGGAGTGAAACGACAGTGAATGTAATAACTTGAGCGGTGTTAGGTTGACTCTTCGTCGTAATAAGGTTTCTGATTCTTCGTCGCCTTACAGCAACAGGCCAGTTCTTGACCCGTGAGCATCAAGCGCGATTCCGACCAGGTACAGGCTGCAACCAGTGCTCTGAAAACAAACAACGGCCGCCTGAAACAAGTCACTAGATAATCGATCAGGAGCCGAACTGGTCACAGTTAGACGAGGTTGAACAGCCATCGAGTGGAAATAATGGGCAATCTCATTGTAAGTAAACGCAATCTAGAATGATGGGAGACAAAACGATTTATATACGTTTCCTACACGGTTAGTCGAACTGGGCGACCTTGTGAGTAATTTCCGTTATGGGCATCACTCCCTTTTTGCCCTACAGAGTGAATAAACAATTGAAAACGGCCAGGTTTTGTCCATTCGTTTAACTTTCACCTCCAGACAAGTTGACTTCGCGCTTTTATCGAAATAGATAGACGGACAACACTTGCGTCTTTCTAGTAGGAAGCAGGGGAGATCGTTATCGCAGTTACTGTCGTGAAATCCACTCTCGAATCAAGCCATCGGCTGGCCAGGAGTTCTTTCGAACTGAATGCCCACTGGGCTCCCACTGCGGTTTCCAGTGCATCAATTTTAGTTAGAAAATCCGTGCAATTTAAAACCTTTTTCACCACTCCCCATGGTCATGGAAAGGAACGTGCTAGGTACTACTTGATAGAACAAATACAAGTGTTTACATTTTTCTCCCGGTTTATCAAGGTTGTTAATGAAACACATTTGGAATTGTACATTGCTGAAATGTTGAGCCATGACAGACAAATTCACACGGTCTGTCTCACAATAAGTTTCATTGGAAAAATAGCATATAAAGATCTTGCTTAGATAACAAACATTGATGTTTCTTTTCGGATGGTCCCATTTTTGCTCACAATGTTTGGTTTGATTGTTTTGATTTAGCTTTGTTGCTGTATGGGTGGCAATCGGTTGCGGTATTTTTCCACCAGTGTGGCTCGATGAAACAGATCTAACAGGTCATAGCGTTGTCGTAAACTGCTCGATGACATGTGCAACTCCTCAGCCCGTTTGAGCTGCGATTCTTTGGTCAGATCAATGTCATAGCGAACAGTCTGCCTGACTCGCGGTCCAATCATCTTTGACCATTCATGGCAAGGAATGTAGGAGGGTCGTGTAACGATGCGAGATCTAGGTGGCAAGCCAACTCTGGAAAAAATAGAAACAGGACAGAAATGGAGTTCGGTATTCGGACACATGCATAGACTATGTATAAATTATGGGAAGGTTATAGTGGACAGGATGCGGTTAAGCCATTTGGTGCACACTTTTGGTACCAAGTGATAAGCAGTCTCTAACTCAGTGATTCAGTGAACTTCAGTGGCGCTTTTTCAAACTGCTTTTGTGGTTGCTGCAATAATTCGACTGACATCGTCGGTCACCGTACACTAGTTGGAGTTACGACATTTTCCGCAGCTTAGTTCTCCGACTGAGCCTCCCAAGCTGGCGTTCACGTACAAACGACCACCAAAGGTGTACAAGGTATATTTACGCCCAAAACGAAGTCAAAAACACTTGTACAGCGTGTCATATATATAGGGCAGGCAGCAACAACCTGGAAATTCTGATGCCTTCTGGATGCGGCATCGACAAACGACATGCAGCGAATACTGGGCCATGGTTGTCTGTCGGGTCCAGACTTTCCACCAATCAGATTTCGGCTTGATGCCGGACCGGCAACAGTCCCAAACTTTTCGCCAATCTTGTGCGGCTGTAGCAGCTAACTGCGAGCGGGTAAAGCGGGATCCGTGTGGAATTCCCCCTAACACCTAGGTGCCGTGTCACACCAAGAAAGCGCACGCGCGCATTAACCACTAGGCTCTCTCGAGCTGGGCGCGGAACAGTGCAGTTCGAATAAGTCAACCCTGTACGTGATCAGTGCGAAGTTCCAACCAATGGTAACTGAAATTAAGGGTTGAATATTCTGTGACCCTTTTAAAATTAACTTGGAATGCTCAAAGTAGGGTAAAAGCTGCGCTTAACTATATCAGGAAGTGTTCTGAAAACAATAACGTTGGTCAGTCTAAGGTAACTTTGTAAGCAGTTGTACAAATAGAAAAGTGGACCATCTCTATGTTAAGACAGGTGCGCGTAGTTAAGTAGGCGAATGTTGTGAGTCGACCTCGTCCGAATTCAACGGGCAGAAAGATCTTTGCCTGATTGGACAACCATTAATAGTCACCTTTTGACTAGTGTCACAAGCGGCCACATGGTATCATCCAACAGCGTGCCAGACACGAACCCATATTGATCACATCACTATCAGTTACCGATGGCGCTGATCAATAACTGACTGCCGTTCATTTTGGAAAGCATTTGTGGATTCTAACCACGCTCTTGCGCGGACTTACTTCTCTTTGTTTCCAGCGCGCGTAGGGTTTGGGCGAATTGCTCAGTAATTTGGCAGATCCCAAAGTTAAGGGAACTTATGAGAACCATCTTCTGGACTTTCTTCCAACTGCTTCACACGCTAATGGCTGCAACGCGTCACATCCTTGATCCCCCAGCAAAGGGGGTATCAGGCCAAAGCGTGGGATGTTTTGTTCAGTGGCTGTCAGAAGTGGTCTCTTCCAGCAGTGGAAGAGACATCTTTAGATCTTCGACCACCATTGTCTCAGAACCATGACGTTGTTGTCTGCTTTTGTCTGTCACGGTTGAGCTCCTAGAGCTAGGTAGAATGCGGAGTAGCTGAAAAACGAAAATAGAACTAACGACCTACGATCTAACACGGTATTTTGGCCAAGAACCCGATGGCCGCAGAATAATGCACTAATTCAATTTGATCTGTAGCTCTCCGGGATTTTGTGGTGCATGTTGCATATCAAAGCACCAAATTCCCAGACGAATTTCCTTCATACTCACCCAATCAGCCATTTATCCGACGTCTGTTGTCGGAAACTTTGAGTGTGGGAGCTTTGTGACGTCGTGACGTAAGGGAAATTCAATGGACAGTTTTCAATAGTCAACCTGGAAAGGTTCGTTTGAATTTTCATAGGCGAGACTGTGCATTCGAGGTCGGAAGAGTCAAGTCCTCAGCACTGTTTGACCGCATTCATCGCATTTATACTTTTGAGGGCTATAGCCAGGTTAGGTGGTAACACCATCACAGCATCGACAGCATGGCATAAGTGATCAACACCGGTGCTTCACTGCCGTACAACCATGATTTCTTTGAAAGCCTTATTGTAAAGAAAAGAGTAAAGGTGGGCGGGGAACGGACTTTGTGCAAGCTTAACACAATCATTCCGAGGCGCATATACCTCCAGACACTCACCCAGG